CCCCAAAACCCCAAAACCCCAAAACCCCAAAACCCCTTGATACAACATTGCTTCAATATTTTGAGGTCAATTTATGAAATTAAGGTTAATCGAGAAAACTATGTTTATATTCATTCAAATTTATGAGTGAGAGCATCAACTCTTTGGTAAAATAGTATGTATGCATTTTTACTAGGACTTTCAATTCCTGATTGAGAGACCTATTCCTACTCCTCATACAAATACCTATAAAAATAGTAAAATCTTTTTCTTACCATTTTTCCTCCTTACTATTAAACACACTTGAATTGAATCTGTGGGAATTATTAAGCTTTGCAAGTTAGACAGTCCCATAGAGATTATAAACAGCCTTTTTAACACTGTCATCCTCTATGAATAATTATAAGCCATTTTAAATTATTACTTGAGGTATTAGCGAATCTTCTAAGGTCAAGGCTATCTACTGGGTAGAACACATTCTGCTAATATGAATTAACTTTATTCACGAATGTCTCAAATCTCTGAATCTGGATTATAAGGAATTTGGGAAATTTCCAAATGCTCAATTCCTTTTTGTATGGGGCATTTTTCCTACATTTCAAACAGTAAAATTGAGTTATACTGGGGTTTTACTCTGAATCCACAATACTTGAATCCTTATTGTTGAGCTAGGACTGAAAGTACTCTACTATTAGTTCAGTCAAATTCACAGTCTCTGCTTTGGAATGCTTCTTCAAACTCAAGTTGAGACTCATGAAATTTTCAAAGATTAGCTTTGGATTATAGCAAAGTAGACATTAAATGTGTTTAAGTATTCTACCTTGAAACATATCGATTATAGGGGAATCGTCTTTCTCTCTAAAGAATTTATCCCATTTATCAGCTTGAATATAATCTAACTCTACTATTCCATTTCCTTAAAATGCTGGATAGGAATTTGCACCTACCATCTATCCACGATTAGGAGCACGATTCAAATCATCATGCAATCCTGAGATCAAGTGAATTAACATTTCAAATGGGTCCCTTGTAAAGAAACTCTTGAATGATGGATTCATCAACTCTGAATCAAAATAAAGGAGAGGATAATGCTTACCTAGAAGTCTAAAAATCTTTACAGCAGTGAAACTTGATTTCTTAGGCTGCTATTTATATGAAGAGAAAAACTCAGACATTTATTCAAGCACGACACCTTCATATTTGCTTGCTTCATTTTTAGAGATTTGATTTTTTAAAAACCGTTTTATTATCTACCTTAGTGGAAGTGTTTTGTACAAACAATGCATTACAGAATTACTATAAACTCTTATGAAATAGTAATTTACACTGGGCTTAGATAATTATCAGAGTTGAGAGAGACGCATCTTTCACTACTCTCCAATTATTGATATAAATTTTTATTGATCTTTTCATAAATTTGCAGTTTTTTCGCAGTGTTCATTCTTTCTATAGATTTCATTTGAAATAGAATTGTAGCTTACATAAAGCGTCATTGGTAATATTTTAAACTTCATCAAAAGCATCGATTTCTTATCTCCTGGCTGGGTCTAATTATGCCATCTCTGCCAATCTATCTCTTTTCCACTACTCAGCTGGTGGTAGTTACTCTATTAAGGAAGGCCCTCTATCATTGTCATCGTAAAGTCTTCTTGGCATCTTCAACTTACTTCACTCATGCTTAGTTTCCTCGCTTTAAAGCTCTGGAATGGCTATACTAAACATTGACTGCTTATATGCATCGCTGTTATGTCCAAACAAGATATTTGAGTCATATGAGAATAATTTTCTTTCATTGTAGTTCACTACTCTATCAAATTGGCTCTTTTTTATTACATTATCAAAAGTAATTTTGTGGTTCAATATCTCTGGCTAAGACCTGTTTCTTAAAAGTTATTGCTTTGCCTGCTAATAGGTATTCCCTTCTAAATGTGGGGGGAGTTTATTCTATTATGGGACATAGCTGTGGTTTTGGTCATGGTGGCTTTGCTATTAGACTTTTGGCCTTATTGCAGGAGTGTAAAGTTAATGATCCATTAAAAATTTGTATTTTGCTATTTTAATTACAAGATTATTTTTAAAATTGTCAATACTTGAATTCTACATTCTTTCTTCTGGGGTTTTGGGGTTTTGGGGTTTTGGGGTTTTGGGG